ATCAGCACCCTGAGAGTGATGTGAAGGACATTGTTGATAAAAGTCCTCGGGTGGGTTTTCCCCTCTTTTTAATTTTTCTATGGAAATTAACTGTGGCACTGAAGTAGGAAGAATGATGTACTCACTACTCAGCTTTAGCAGTTGCCAACATTTGAGGGTTATCTATGATAAATTATTGCTGAACTGTGGTTGAGCTTGTAAAGTGCCCAGGCCTCTGCACCTAGGGAGCCCTCCAGGCACAATGTACACACAGGTCCTCAAGCCCCTGATATACACCTATTCTGTGTCTCCGTTTTAGGTGGAGGTGGAGGCAGTGTCCCTGGAATTGAGAGGATGGGCCCCGGCATTGACCGCATCGGGGGGGCCGGCATGGAACGCATGGGCGCAGGCCTGGGCCACGGCATGGATCGTGTGGGCTCCGAGATTGAGCGCATGGGCCTGGTCATGGACCGCATGGGCTCCGTCGAGCGCATGGGCTCTGGCATCGAGCGCATGGGCCCCCTGGGCCTCGACCACATGGCCTCCAGCATCGAGCGCATGGGCCAGACCATGGAGCGCATCGGCTCTGGCGTGGAGCGCATGGGTGCCGGCATGGGCTTTGGCCTCGAGCGAATGGCCGCGCCCATTGACCGTGTGGGCCAGACCATCGAGCGCATGGGCTCTGGTGTGGAGCGCATGGGCCCTGCCATCGAGCGCATGGGCCTGGGCATGGAGCGCATGGTGCCCGCAGGCATGGGGGCAGGCCTGGAGCGCATGGGCCCCGTGATGGATCGCATGGCCACCGGCCTGGAGCGCATGGGCGCCAACAACCTGGAGCGCATGGGCCTGGAGCGTATGGGCGCCAACAGTCTCGAGCGTATGGGCCTGGAGCGCATGGGCGCCAACAGCCTAGAGCGCATGGGTCCTGCCATGGGCCCAGCCCTGGGCGCTGGCATTGAGCGCATGGGCCTGGCCATGGGTGGCGGTGGCGGTGCCAGCTTTGACCGTGCCATCGAGATGGAGCGTGGCAACTTTGGAGGAAGTTTCGCGGGTTCCTTTGGTGGAGCTGGAGGCCATGCCCCTGGGGTGGCCAGGAAGGCCTGCCAGATATTTGTGAGAAATGTAAGTGGCTCTTCAGGAACTTCTCGGCCCTATGCACATGGGGAAGAGGGAGGCAGAGGTCAGCAGGACCGAGGGTGGAAGGTTGCAGTGAGAGGAGATGGCCTCAGAAGGAGAGCTGAGGAGCATGTAAGGCCACGTTGCTTGTCTTTGTCCCCACGGTTTGGTGTCAGTAGAATGAGGTGGGAACATGGGATCTCACGACACTTGTGCAGCAAAAATAGTGGGTTTTCTGAAATCCTAGGCTTCTCTGACTGCTAGGTAGAGAAGACCAAGATCTGGAGAACTTGAGGGTTTTTTTTCTTTTAACTCTCAGCTTGATGAGCTGCTAAATACATGGCCTGACAGTTCAGAGTGGGGAGAGGGCTGTATCTGAATTATCTTCACCGGATGGACAACTTTTAGCCACTGTGCAGCGGATCTGTGGGCTGTTCACTACGGGCAGCTGTGCATCCTGTTCCCTGTGTGAAGTTGCTGCAGATAACAGGGAATGAACTTGCTGTGCTAGGTTAGGACCTCACCCAGACAGACTTTCTCTACTGATCATTGCAGTGTGAAGGTCAGCCAGTATCTGTAATGAGAGGTTTTAAAGGCATCCCAAGACAGTTTAGGTTTCTGCATTAGGATTTGGTTGCATCACTCACCAGTTCCCCTTTTCTCCCCCCTCAGCTCCCATTTGATTTTACATGGAAGATGCTAAAAGACAAGTTCAACGAATGCGGTAAGTGTTTGAGAGAGACTTCCTAAATGCTTCCTTGTGTTGTGGCTTGTGTCAAGGCTCCCATCCTTATGGGACTTGCCATTTTTCTGCCTGTGCGAACACTCAAGCCGATTGTTGAGCTTCCTGTTATGTGTCAGACACTTTTTCACCCCTGTCCTCAATTCAGTCTTTGCTGTTTGCCTTTTCCGGTTTTTGAAAAGAGGCAGCATTGTCCCCATTTTACAGAGTCAGGCAAAGTCACATTGCCAAGATCACATGGCTTCTAAGTGACAAAGCTCAATAAAATAAGTACATTGTGAGACAAGGGTGCCTTCCACAACTGCACCATGGGTTTGTGTCTCAAAGAGCACTCACCCAGCAGGCACTGGTGAGGATTCACAGGCCCAGGGCAGGTTTTTGTGGGTAGCGTGGTTTCCTGGCAAACTGGGCAGCCACTCTGGAAGGCTTGCTTTGTGGCCAAAAGGAAGTTCGGTTGTCTCTGGGTGAGGCCCTGCCCCTCACCCCCCACCACTTCTGTTCTTTGAACCATGGCAAGTTGGGAGCCCCAGCCTTAAGCCAGAGGCCTGGCTGACTCTGAATCAAGGCTTCCTCAGTGTTTTCTCATTTCCTTTTGCCACAGTAACTCAGATTTCACCACTGTTGCAGCCCTTCCTAGTTCTTCTCTTGGGTCAGTTATTGAGCCATAGCCTGCCTTCTTGCCCCCTTCTTGCCCTCTCTCCCTACTCCTTAGTTCACAGATTGTAGTGGGAAAGTCAAGTGGATCATGCCACTTCCCCTCCCAGGCCTGGAGGTGTCTGTCCCTCTGTTGGCAAGAGAAGTCCAAAACTACAAGCCCTGTACCACTTAGTGTCTGCCCAGGCTGTTGTAGAACTTGCCTGTGAGAAGCCCTCCAGGGCTTGACCTTCTCTCAGCAGAGTTCATGGCCCTAGTGTTGTGTGGGCCAGCCCCACTACGCTTGTGTTCTTGGCCCTGCGTTTCTCTAGCTCTTCCCTTGTAGATTGCTTTCCACAGTGCTTGACACATAACCAGGATGCTTAACCAGAGCTTGAAGGAATATGTGTAACCTGCTTGTCAATGATTACAAAGCTGGTATTTGGACAGTACAGAAGTGTCCATGGTATTGGCGATGGCCTTGTAAACACAGAGGAGCAGTATATTAAAAGTGAAGCCTCTGTAAAATTTGCCTATAAAGTTGGCTTCACACAGTGTGTTTTTTTTTTTAATAACTCTTGAGCATGAAGGTGTACCTTTGGAAGCCACCAGGACTGCTTATCATGAGTCAGATTGTTGTCCCATGGGCAGAAGAATGGCAGTGTGGTAGAGGGCCATGGTAGCTGGGTTCCAGCCGCTGTGTTCTGAGCATTCTTGCGTCAGGCGCAAGGGCCGCTCTCCCTTTTGACTCTGTCAACCGAAATCCAACAGGTGATCTGGACTGAGTGGAGCCCAGACTGAGCCTGAGCTCTGGGTTTGCCTGATGAGTTGTGGTCTCTTCTTCCCTCCCTGTGCCCAGGCCACGTGCTGTATGCCGACATCAAGATGGAGAATGGGAAGTCCAAGGGGTGCGGTGTGGTTAAGTTTGAGTCGCCAGAGGTGGCTGAGAGAGCCTGCCGGATGATGAATGGGATGAAGCTGAGTGGCCGAGAGATTGATGTTCGAATCGATAGAAATGCTTAAGCAGTTGCCTTTTTTAAACATCGATACCAGACCTCTGAATTTGTATTTTTTCTTGTTAACCATTTTAATTTGTTGGCTGGATGTATAAAGATGTTTAAAAAATTCAGTTGCTTTTTGGGGTAATTTGAATTACTTTTTTAATGACTGGGGTTCCATTTGACTGTTTGCATTGAGATTGCAATGTGCGCAATTTTTTTTGTAGTTGTGGCATCTTGTTGACATCGAATATGACTTTGATAATAAATACCAGTTCCTGAAAGCTGCCTGCTTTTGCGTGTGTGTTGTGGGGTAACCACCCGAGATTGAGGGACCAAAGCTGCTCAGTCTCCTTTCTGCCCTTGGAACTGTGTGGACCCTTGAGGTGAGAGGCCACTGGCTGCAGCCTCTTGAGAAAAGTCTCTTTATGGAAACCGAGTCCTGAGTGGGTCTGAGTCTCCCAGTGCCTGTGCATACTGATGGTGTGCTTGGCTGTCAGAACCAATCCTGTCTCCCCAGGGCAGTGATTCTACGGGGCAGATACTGCGAGGGGCCCATTTTCAGTTTGACTTCTGTCCCAGTCTGCCCCGGCTGCTGAAAGGAGCATTTGTTTCTCTCAGTCCTGGAGGGTGGGCGGTCCTGTCAAGGTGCTGGCAGATCCAGGGCCTGGTGAGGGCCTAGTCCTAGTTCATGGATGATAGTTTCTAGCTGTAACTTCACGTGGCAGGAGTTGTCTAGGGAACTTTCTCAGACTTATTTAAAACTATTTTTTAGTTTACTTGGCTGTGCCATGTGGCTTGTGGGACTTCAGTTCCCCGAACGGGATGGGGGCTGAACCCAGGCCCGTGGCCATGGAAGTGCATTGTCCTAACCATTGGACAACCAGGGAAGTCCCCAAACCTCTTTCATAGGGCACGAATCCCATCCATGAGAGCTCTGCCTCTGGACCTGATGCTTTCTCATGCTGTCACCTAGAGGGGTAGGTTTTCAGTTTAGGACTTTGGTTTTGATAGCCAGGACACAAACTTCAGTCCATAGCAGCTTTTCTTTGCTAAAACAGACCAAGGAGGGTGTAGGTTTCTGAGCATATTCTGCCCTGTCAGAGGTTTAGGCTGAACTTGATACCTGTACTCGGTCAGAACTGGGTCACATTCTCTCCACAATGTGACAGCCACTTGGGCTATTGCCCGTGAGGAGCTGCAGCAGCTGCTTGTCGTGCTGGACGTGGAGGGCCCCCAAGCATCTCCCGTTCCTTGCTGACCACAGCTGACCTGGTGCCATCAGAGGGGCCCTCAACTCAGCTTCTAGCAAGGGGCCCGCTCCCTTGCCACCTTCTCCTGCCCCCCTTTTTCTCTGCTGGCCTTTGTCCTTGAGGGGTGAGGAGACCTGGACCTCACAGATTTCCCCCAAGTATTTGATCTTGGCTCCACTGTTGGTGCTCATTAGGAGGGAAAGAAAAGACAAGACACAGTAGTCACTTTAAAAGAGGGCTTTATGTGGTCTGTGGACGTGGTCAGACAGGAGCCCAGGCGGTTCTGTGATGGCCCCGCTAGGGTCCAGGGCTCCTTATTAGCGGGTGACTGGACTGGTGGGCTGTCCTTCATCTCCACACCTGCAGGCCTTACTGTCCCTAGGGCAATGGTTGGCTGTCCAAAGGATCTGCCAAGAAAGGTGCCTTTCGGTGACCCTCCCTGTGAGTGGGTAGCCAGCGATCCCTGGAGAGGTGGCAGAGGACCTCACCCACCTTTCCCACCCACCCAGAGCATTTACATACCCCAGGCAGCGACGTCGTCGTACACCTCCGTTTCCCTGGTGGAGAGCACAGTTGGGTCAGCCAGGGTCACCCTGCCCCATTGTCACACACCCCACCCCCTGCCCCCAATCAGTGCTGGCACTCACAGGGGCAGTAGAGCTGTTCTTGGCACATAGCCATCTGTGAAGAGAGCAGGGGTGGGCGGGTGAGGTCTCCTCCCTCCTTGGGGCTGCCTGCCTTCCCAGGCTGCCCTCCACTGGTGACTCACTCACACTTGCCCTTGGTGTCCCGGCACAGCATCTCCTCCTTGCTGGTGAACTCGATCACCTCCAGGATCTCCCCACGCCGGATCCCCAGGTGCTTGCCGCCCCCACGGCGGGTCTTGGCATTGGGGTCGATCATCATCCTTGTCTGAACCACAATCTCCCCCTCGAACTGGGAAAGGGGACACAAGAGCTGCCGCTTGCCCTGCCGCCCTGAGAACCCTGTGCGGGGCGGTGGCCACCTGGGGCCGAGCCCAGCCCTCCCAGGATTCTTCATTCACACCTTGAACTTCTTCCGAAACTCCCGCTCCGCTTTCTCTGCCTTCCGGAGCTGCTTCAGGGACTTCGGGTCCATGGGTGGCATCTGTGGTGGCTGGAGGGGCGCCTTCTCCTTCCTGAGCGTGCCCCGCCCCCCCCCCGCCACAAGGAATTAGGTGCTCATGCTTCTCAAGGACCCCCTTTTACTTTTGTCCCCAGCTCAGCCCCGCCCTGCCCACCTCCCTCTGGTACCTGAGCTCTGGGTCTTGCGGTGGCCTCCACAGGTACTGCTGAGCCGACAGCACTTCATCTGGGACAGTCAGAGTGCCAAGTTAGGGCAGGGCCATTGTGTGGGCCTCTGGCTCTGGTGGCCTGATGTTCCCCTGGTCAGTTTTTAGGACTTGGGTCTCCTCCTCACCCTCTGCTGCCCAGGCCTCTCATGGTAGATTGCCTTCCATTTTCCTAACTCCTGCCACAGGCCAGGCACGGCAGAAACCGTTAGCCATTTCTTTCAACTTTCTTTTCTTTAAAAAAATATTTATTTGGCTGCTCTGGGTCTTAGTTGCAGCATGTGGGATCTAATTGCCTGAGCAGGGATCAAACCCATGCCCCCTACATTGGGAATGTGAAGTCTTAGCCACTGAACCAACAGGGAAGTCCCTTCTTGATGGCTGTCATCCCAAGTTGCCTGCTGAGGAGGTAGCAAGGGTCAGAGAGGTAAGGCAGCCTGCCCAAGGCCACCAAGGTATTAAATGGTAGAGGCAGGGCTTCTGTGTCAGCTTTTGAGGTGGTTTCACCCCTCCCTCCTACAGCAAGTAGGTTTTGGGAATTCTAATGAGATACGGGTCAAAAAATAAGGCCAAGAAAAGTTTCCTCAAAGCAAGCAGTCTGCCTCTGGGATGGGCTGGGGTTCTTGCCTGGTCTGGCTAATAAGACTGGACTGGAAGGAGTCTCCCAGGTAACAGCTGACTCACTACCTGGCAGATGACCAGCTTTTTAGGTGAGGGCACTGCTGGCCAAGGGTCTGCTTACAGTGAAAGCCTCATGAACACCGGGTGAGTGAAGGATCAGAACCTGCAGCCCCCAGCTTTTTTGCAGTCCTCTCTGGATGACTTGAAGTGCCGCCCTGGGCATTCCAGACCACCAGGCCCCCCTCCCCATCAAGTGCTGGGGGGTGGGGAGGGGGCTGCATATCTGCATGGTGCACTCTTCCCTCCTCAGACACTTTTTTGCCTCCAGCCTCAGCCTGGTGCTGAAGTGACAGTCACACCCAGAGGCCACCTGGGCTGGAGATGGTCACCCAGATGGAAGCAGTCCTGACTTCACCCCAGGGCCCCTATACACCTCCCGCAGCCTAAGCACACAGCCTTGGGTGCAGCCAAGAAGGGCAGACCCTGGTGCCCTGTCTCTACCCTGGGCAGTGAGATCCTGAGCAGGCTGCCCTCAGCTCCTGGCCTTTGAGGAGCTCCCTGTCTGTGCAGCGGGCTGCCACTGCTCCGAGTGAGGCAGAGAGTGGGAGGGAGGTGCCAAGAGCCCCTCAGGTCAGGGACAGACTGGAAAGGGGCAGAGCAGCCTTTGGGACAGTCTGCACTGCTGTAACCACCCTACCCGCCTACATGCATTCCCCCCGCCCCCCAGAGGGAGAGATCTAGGCAAGCGTGTGGTGGTGGGTCAGAGTCTTGGAGAATGACCGGCACAGGATGGGGGACAGTGAGCTACGCTAAGGATGCATCTGGTCTACTTGGGGTTGGGGAAACAGTAAAGGGTGGGCTTGTGCCTACAGAGTTGCTGGTGATGGAGTGGCCAGAGGTGCTCGCTCCCCACGTCCACGTCCCCAGGAGTGGCAGCCCCCCACCCCCCCGAGACCTGAGCCACAGAGCCTCACTGGAGCGGAAGCAAGAGGGGCCCTGTCAGGAAGCTTCTGTGCTCACAGGGGTGTTGCAAGCAGCCCCTGGGGAAAGCGGGCCCAGGAAGGAGCCACAGCCATAGAGGCAGCAGGCTTTGGGGGCTGGACTGGTGAGGAGGGGGCAGCAGCTGGGGACCCTTCAGGCACCTCTGACGAGGTTCCCTGGCAGGAGACCCTCTGGAGATAAGGGCAGGAAGCAGCCTGGGGGCAGAGGCTCCCATGTGGTGGCTGTGAGCTGGGGCAAGTCTTGTCTCAAGCTTCCACTTATATAAAATGGTGGGGGGGCACAGTGCACATTACATAAAGTGCTGGTGGGGAGATGGGGTGAATTTCTCACGTGAGGTCGGTGAATGCCTTTTCCCTGAGCTGGGCCTGCCTGGCCTTCCGCCTGCTCTCCAGGAGCAGAGGCAGAAGGGGCCTTGGACACCCAGAGCACATGGGCCTGGAGGGTCGGCCACACCCTGGCTCCAGCTCCCTCCCTCTTGAGTTCAGGCCCCTCCAATACTGGAGTTCCCCAATACTGAGTTCCCCTCAAGCACCTCCAATACTGTGGTTCTCCTGATACCTCTTCCTTACTCAGGGTCACCTCCACTTGACACCCAGGTGCAGGCTCAACATTTAAGCCTCATCCCTATCCTGAGCTTGCTTGCTGTCGTCCCCGGTGATACACCATTACGTCCTCTTGCCAATTTTGTTTTGTTTTGTTTTTTGGCCACGCTGCTTGCAGGATCTTATTCCTGGAACAGGGATGAAACCTGTGCCCCCTGTGTTGGGAGTTCAGGGTCTTAAGCACTAGACCAGGGAAGTGCCCCTCTATCGGATTCTTCCCCTGTTCTGCATGTCTGTGGCCACCACCTTGGGATGCAACCCTTGGCTTGGCCGCACCGTGGTCAGGCTGCTGGCCTCTGGCTGTCCTTCCTGTTCCTCCACCAGGAGCCGCCATGACCTCTCTGACCCCTTTCTCTCTTTTTTTCTCCCCTAGCTTCTCTGCTTTCAATCCCTCAGGCATATGGGTTCTCACGGGGCCTGGTACTAGCAACACAGACAGAAGAGGCCCCTGTGATGACTGTTCCCCTTCCTCCGATGCCTCAGCAGACTGGTCTGGCCGAGTGTCCTGCTCTGTCACCTCTGCTCCTGGGGCCAGGTCCAGAGTGGTCCGTGGGCTCGACATCATCGTACACCTCGTCCGGGTCCCTGCAGGGATACCTGACGTGAGTGAGGGCCTGTTTCAGCCCCGTGACCCATGCCTGTGCCCCCTGACTCCCCATGCTCACTGTGGGATGCAGTGGAGGCCAGCAGAAGAGGAGGTCCTGGGCAGAGCTGTGGAGAGATGAGATAGGAGGTGGGGACGCGGGTAAGCCAGGGAGCGTCGACCCGCCCGCCCCTGCTTTCTACCTGGGCCATCCACACCCACCTGTGTCTGCAGCTCTCCGGAAACTCTGGATATCCCTGGGGCCTGGGGGCAGTGGGGGCTTGGCTGGGGGAGGGCCCAGGCTGCTGGCCGGGGGTAGAGGCCTCCGCCGGGGCAGGTGACCAGGTCTGAGACCTAGCCTGGAGCCAGGATTCCGAGCGAGGGCTCCTGATCTCTGCTGCCGTGCCCCAAACCCTGGGCTGAGAGGGACCCGGGGGCTGGAGCCCGCCACGGCAGAGGGCAGCGAGCTCTCTGAAAAGGAGCCAGGGAGCAGGGGTTTTCTCGGGAGGTTCCTGGGCAGAGAACTGGGCTCTGGCTGCGAGAACTTGCGGGGAGGGCCCCGACACTCGGGCTGCAGAAACTTGGAGGGGAGCACGCTGAACTCGGGCTCCGAGGACGTCCTCGAGAGGCTGGCGGGCTCAGGCTGCGGGGGCTTCTTGGAGAGCGCCTTGAACTCACACTGGCGTGGCTTCTTGGGAACCACACTGACCTCTGGCTCCGAGGACGTCCTGGTGAGGTCACCAAACTTAGGTGGCAGGGGCTTCTTGGGGGGGTCATTCATCTGAGGCCGGGTGATCTTTCTGGGAAATGTACTGAAGTCGGGCTGCGAGGAGTGGCAGTGGGGCTCACCAGATTCAGGCTTTGAAAGGGGCACTGGAGGGACCTCACTGGACTCAGGCTGTGGCAGGAACTTCTTAGGGAGGCCACCGCCCTGAGGCTGCGGGGGCTTTCTGGGGAGCCCACAGAACTCAGGTTGCGGAGGCTTCTTGGGAAGAGTACTGAAGTTAGGCTCTGAGGAGTGGGGGTGGGGCTCACCAAATTCAGGCTTTAAGAGGGGCACTGGAGGGACCTCAGTGGACTCGGGCTGTGGCAGGGGCTTCTTAGGGAGGCCACCGACCTGAGGCTGCGGGGGCTTTCTGGGGAGCCCAGAGAACTCAGGCTGCGGGGGCTTCTGAAGAAGGGTACTGAACTTGGGCTCCACAGGGGGCCTGGGGGTGTTGCTGAGCTCAGGCTGCTGCGGGGGCTTCTGAGGGGGGCCCTCAGGGACCTCAGGCTTCCTGGGAAGTGGTGTGGCCTCGGGCTGCAGGGACTTCTTGGAGAGTTCACTGAACTCAAGTTTGGGGGGCTTTTTGGGCAGGTCAGTGAACTCAGGCGATGGGGGCTTCTTGGGGTGCTCGCCTAGCTCAGGCTGTGGAAACTTTCTGAGGAGTTTGTGGAACTCAGGCTTCGGGGGCTTTTTGGGGAGGTCGCCAGTCTCCAGCTGAGAGGCCTGGAACTTTGCTTGAAGGCTCCGGAAGTCCTGATGACTCCCCTAGGGGACACAGGCAGGCAAGGGACTCATACACATGGGGGCCATGGAGAGATGGACATGGGGACAAGCGGACTGATCACAGACACACACCCTTGTCGACCTCTTCCCCGCCTTCTGCCATTGACTCTTATTTTGACCAGACTCCCATGTTTTTGTCTCCAGCCTCGCCGCGAGAGTGCCAGGCTTTCTTCCTGAACTACCACACACCCTCTGACCTTAAGCCTGGAATATGCACCCAACCTTACCCCACTCTGGACCTGAGCTCCTGGGGCCCCCTATGGCTTTCTGCTCCCATACCCACCCCCACCCCAACTCCATGGAGCATCCTCAAGCTCCTCCTCCCCTCCTGCATGTCCCCAGACCTTTCTTTTCTTATATCAAAATGTATCTGGAGGGATTTCCCTGGCAGTCAGGTGGCTAAGTCTCCTAGCTCCTGTTTGGGGAAGTAGATCCCACATGCCACAAAGAAGAGTTTACATGCCTCAACTGAAGATTCCGCGTGCTACCACTAAGACCCGGTGCAGCCAAAAGCAATAAATGTATGGTAGTATATCTGGAACTGAAAAACTTTGGACCACCCACACCCCTGTCCGGGCCGTGAAGAATCCACCCAGGGGAGGCGGCCTCCCCTGCAACAGCATTATTGTAAGAGGCTCCTCCTTGTTTCTCCTGCCCCCAACGCCCCTCGCCCCCATTCCTGGTCGCTGCGCCCATGGCAGCCAGAGGAGGCCTGAGTCTGTTTGTGCTCCTCTGCTCGAATCTGGGGGTGCTCTGTCATTTCCCCACAGTAACAGCTCCAGAGCTCACGAACCCCCTGAACGGTACATCTGACCTCCCCTCCAACACCTCTTGGCCTCCCTCTCCTGCTTGGCTCCTGCACCTCTCCTCTTCCAGGTTTCTACTCCTTTATTCCATATGATAAAGGCCTCTTTTCCTGGACCACCCTGATTAAAAAAAAAAAAAGGATCCCCCTAGGACTCTTCGATCTCCCCAACCTGCCTGATATTTCTCTTAGTGTCTACCATTTTATATCATCCTGTTTATTTTTACTTATTTTTTTCTTTTACTATTTATTGGCATGCCACGTAGCACATGGTATCCTAGTTCCCCAACTAGGAATTGAACCAGTGCCCCTTGCATTGGAAGCAAGGAGTCTTATTAACCTGCCACCCAATGCTGTTTTTTAAACAGCATTGACTATTGTCTTGACTATTCAGGGCTTGTGTGTGTGTGAGTGTGTGTCGACTCCGTCTCCCCCAGCCCCCGTGAAGCATCCCATGAGGGCCGCAGCACTGCTGTCCTCCCAGTGCCTGGCACTCAGTAAGACGCTCAGTAGCTGTTCGTTGAAATAAAGAATCTACTAGGGACTTCCCTAGTGGCTCAGTGGTTGAGACTTCGTGCTTCTAATGCAGGAGGTGCGGGCGTTGATCCCTGGTTGGGGAACTAAGATCCCGCAGGCCATGCGGCATGGCAAAAGATATATATATATATATACTGGACACCAAGACATGCAGCATATACTCTCCCACGTCCAGTCTGACGTGCACCAGCCCTGGCACGTGAAGTCCGTCCCGGATCCCATCTCGACAGGACCCACACCCTCGGTCATAGACACAGGAGCCACACAAGTAGGCCAGGACTGCTCTGACCAACAAATGACCCCAGAAGTGGCCCTGCCACAGGCCCCTGGGCCTGGCTTCACCTGGGGTCTAGGATATTGGGGAGGGGAAGGGCAGGACCTCACTCATCTGCCCTGTCTGAGCTTCACTCTCTCCTGACCCAGAGAACAAGGAAGGGTGGCAGTTCCTGCCTGGGGCCTGAGATACCTCTGTGAAAGCACCCCCCACCAGCTGGGCTGGGACAAGGCTCCCAGGTGACCCCGGGGGCCGGAGAAGTCAGGTCAGCAGGTCAGGCCCTGGAGGACTGCTGGGGTGGGCAGCAGGTACCTGACCTACTTTGTCACCCACAGGAAGCCCCTGCCACTCACCCTGGCTGCCTGTTAGCCAGTGGCTGTTCATGCTGACCTGGGGGGAGGGGAGTCACCCCGGCAGGCCCACCCATTCCCCTTCTAGTCACAGCCCTGGCCCTCGGAGCCTGAGCTGTCCCAGAAGTGGGTCCCGGCCACTTCTTACCTCTGGGCATTTGTGGCATCTCATGTCCCCAACAGCTTTCCTGCCCCTCTGCCGCTCTACTTTTGGAATATGCCCCTCTGGTTTCCACCCGTGACATCCCTCACCTCCAGCCAGTGTGGGGCTCTCCCAGGCCCTGGAGACTCACTCACCATGGCTGCAGGAGGGCGACGGGCCACAAGGCGAGTGGGACCCAGGTCAGGACCGCTGCCTTCAGGAAGTGACTGTGGCTTCTGCTCCACGGGGTGGGGTCTGCTGGCCAGGCGGGGAGGGGAGGGGAGGAAGGGGCAGAGGCGGGGACAGCCCCAGCCTGGTCTCAGATCCTGTCAGTGCTTCTTTGAATTCCTGTCCTGCCCTGCAAGCTTTGGGCATCGTGTCAGCAGAATCCCTCCCAACAGTCACTCACTTCTAGATTCTGCTGCCCCCTCACCGCCACCCCAGTCCTGCCATGTTCTGGCCTTCGGACTCCAGGGAGGACTTGTGCCAGGCCAGGAGGGCCTCCTGGCAACAGAGGCGGGGCAAGGCCACCTCCAGCCAGGGCCTCCATGGGAGAGGAGGCGTAGTTCTCAGTAGGGAAGGGGCATGGTAAGCTTCACGCTTACTCAGTAGTGAGCTGGGTGGGTGAGGCCCTCCTGCTGGCCCTTGTTGCCTCAACACGCCTTCCTCATTTCAACACTTCCCTGCAGTCCCGATTTCCAGCTCTGAGCAGGACTCAGGACTTCCTGTTGCGGGGGACATCTGTCACACAGGCCAACGGCCCAGGTGGGGTGGCAGGTTTGGTGATGGGCGGGTGGGTGGGCAGTGTCCAGGTTCCCAGAGGACTAGGGAAGGAGGAAAATGGGGGTGGCCGGGAGGCCAGCGAAGAGGGGGTGAAGGTGGGGCACAAGACCAGCGCTGTCCGGAGGGAAACCCTGATGGCTTGGCTTCGTCCCCAGGAGGTCAGTGACCGTGGGGCTCATAGAGAAAGGAGAAAACACCCAGTGGAAGACAGCAGAGCCCTGATTCTCAGCTTGGCCACACCATCGGGGTCCCTTCAAGAGTTCACAGAGGTGAACAGAAGCTCCTGGAGATCCTTTTAATTTAAAACTTTTCGGCTACACTGGGTCTTTGCTGCTGCGAGCAGGCTTTCTCAAGTTGCAGAGAGGAGGGATACTCTCTAGTTGCAACCTGCAGGCTTCTCATTGTGGTGACTTCTCTTGTTACAGAGCACAGGCTCTAGGGAGCCGGGCCGGGGCTTCAGTAGTTGCAGGTCCCAGGCTCTAGAGCACAGGCTCAATAGTTGTGGTGCCGGGGCTTAGCTGCTCCTCAACGTGAGGGATCCTCCTGGACCAGGGATCGAACCCATGTCTCCTACACTGGAAGGTGGATTCTTTACCACTGAGCCATCAGGGAAGTCTGCTCCTGGAAATTCTGACTTAATTGGTCCGGGTTGTGGCCTGAGCCTGGGGATTTCTTACACACCCTCAGGGTGATTCTAATGTGAAGCTGGGAAAGAACTGGTCTGCTAGTCATCCTGGCACCCTGATAAGGTGTGGGCTGTGCCTCAGGTCAGAGTCTGAAGCATCTCAGGTGATGCCCATACTGTGGTCCAAGGATCACACCTAGACTAGCAGGGATGTTTGAAGTTTCCAGAAGGCTATAGACAGCAGTTGGCAGTGACTATGCCTGTGTGTCCGCTCTAAGAGCAGAGCTTGGGGATTTTGGACCCCTGTGTGTCCCTGCACAGACCGACATGCACTCTGGGTCACATTCCTGGGTGTGGGTCCCCCTCTGAGTAGGAGGCTGAGGGTGAGGATGAAGAGGTCTGTGTCCCGGAGCTGCTCAGCCTGGGAACCTGCAGTCTCTGGCCAACCTGTTCCCCATGGGGTAGCTGCACAAGGCGGATGCCTGCCTGGACCCGCGGGCCCCTCATTCATCCTCCCTTCAGACAGACACTCCTGAGCACCCTCTGCTGGGCGGAGCCAGAGCCCTCAGAGGGACTCTGCTTTTGGGCATCTTGGAGTTGAGGTGGTGGGGGCGGGGAGGAACCCTCTTTGAGGTCACAGAGAGAGGTTGGCCAGAGAGAGGTCAGGGGTTGCAGAGGCCCATAAGGGACAAGGGGAGGAGTAAGACTTCCCAAGCGAGCAGACAAAGATTGGACGTGAGTTGGGAGGGGATGAGGGTAGGAGGCGGGGCTTCCAGGTGGCACAGTAGTAAAGAATCTGCCTGCCAACGTGGGAGACACAGGAGACGTGGGTTCGATCCCTGGGTTGGGATGATCCCCTGGAGAAGGAAATGGTAACCCATGCCAGTATTCTTGCCTGGAGAATTCCATGGAGAGAGGAGAATGGCAGGATACTGGTTACAAAGAGTCGGACACCACTGAGCAACTGAATACACATGCACAAGGGTAGGCGGCAGTTTTCAGTGACCCAGCTCCCCAGGCCTCAGAGCGCTTTCAGCTTGCTCCAGAGGTCAGTGAGGGGCCCGGGGAGCATGGGAACCGTGGACCCACTGTACCCGTGGGAGGGGCTGTTGCATCTACACGGGTGATGGGGTTGGAAGGCAGGTACCTGGGTCATGATGTTGGCTCTGAGTCTCTCTGGAAAGGTCCTGCCACACTGGGAAGTAGCACTGCCTGGATTCAGCGGTGGCTGAATGAGGGCCTCATGGGGAAAACTTCTAGGGGCTGGGGGACTCTGGTCCCCTGGCGATGTGACACCGAGCCCTGAAGATGCAGGAAAGGGTGAGCCTAGGGCCTTGGAGGTGCAGGAAAAAGTGAGAGTGCCTAGGTTTTCTCATCAGTGGTAACTGTCCCACTTCTGGGGTCATGTAGAGATCAGTGTGACTTTGGAAGCGGGCCTGGCTAGAGTCGGGCTCCGTCAGCTTACCAACCTAGCCTCACCTTCTCTAGCTGTACAGTGGGCCCTTGACCCACCTCCCCCCCAGGTTCTTGAGAGGGCCCCCGGCAGCCGGCCACAGGCTTGGTGGCTGGAGGGATGTGAACTGCTGGCCAACGTTTCTCAAGCCCCTTCCCCCTCTCCCCACCCCTCTGTGAATTCTCACAAGAACTCCAAAGGCTGACTGTCATGACACCCATTTTAAGGACTAGAAAAGTGAGATACTGAGAGGTTCAGTCTTGGGGCTTCCCTGGCAGTCTGGCGGTTAGGACTGTGCTCCCAGTGCAGGGGGCATGGGTTTGTTTGATCCCTGGTAAGGGAACTAAGGTCCCATATGTTGTATGTCATACCCAAAAGATCCCCAAAACAGAGAGGTTGAATCTTCCCCAGGGTCACCCAGCTGTGGGTCCAAGGCTTCTGGCTGAGAAGTGTGTGTGGGGGGAGCTTGTGGGGGTCTGGGGCCCCCAGGGTTCCCTAATGGTCCCACAGCTCATGTTGAATGTCGGCTGCCTCAGTGGGGCCTGGGGGCCTGGAGATGGTGGCAGCGTGGTCACGTGGCCTGAGTTACCTGGGCCTCAGCTGCAACCCCATCAAGAACACTGGAGGCCTGAAGCCCCTTGTGAGGCCAAGGATGGAGGGGAAGGCAGTCTGGCTCCTGGGTGTCCAGGTGGGATGGGTCCTAAGGGCACCAGATCTCCCTACTGCCCTTCCCAGGAGAAGCAGCAGGGCCGTCGGAACCTGCAAGTGTTCAAGTTCGAGAAGACACAGCGGCCACACTAACGGGAGCAGGTGTTTGAGCCGATACCCCAGCTAGGCTTTACCTGGATGGCTTCCATGCTGGGGACCTTGCTTGGCTCTGAGACAGAGATGAAGATTCTGAGGAGGACCAGGGGAGGATGGGAAAAGGGTCAAGGGGAAGACAGGAGGCTGCTGGGTGAGGGGTGGGGCCTGGGGACTTACCCCCCAGGGGGTGACCAGTGTCTTGTTGGTGGCAGAGAGAGGACTACCCTGATGACTTGGAAGATGGAGGAGATAAGGAATGAAACAGGGTGGGGGTGGGGTTGGAGTTGCTGGGTTCTTGCTCACAGGATGTCTAGGTTCCCCAGGAGAAAGAGGAGGGTGATGGTGAGTGTGGCCCTGATAGGAGGAGTGGAAGATGTGCAAGACGGGTCCTTGTGGGCTACTAGGAGGGCAGAGTCTTCATCCAGAGAGCTGAGAGGAGTCACAGGGGTACTAGGCAGGGGAAGGGGCACGATTGGAAGAGACTTGTTTCCAGGGGTCTTCAGACTGGATGGAAGCGGAGGCAGGGGGTGGGGGATTGCTTCTGGTGCCCAGGATGAGGCAAGGGTTGAGGTCTGGGCGAGGGGGCCACAGGGCTGGAAGGGAGAAAGATGCAGGAGGTAGAGCCAGGCCCAGAGGAAGGTTCGACCTTCAGGGTTCTGGCGACAGCACCTGTGGGACCAGATTTTGAACCCTGGCCCCCACCTGACTCCCAGGAAGAAAAGGAAGGAGAGAATCTATACAGGGGAGAGGACAAGGGAGGCAGCCAGGCTCTGCAGAACTGGCCGACACGCACCCTCATCCTCAGGGCTGGAGAGAAAAGAGGAGCTGGACAGCCCACAGTGAGAGTCCAGAGGACAGGGAGGAGGAGAACGGCTATGAGGCCTAAGCCCCAGCCTGCCACACAGAGCCCAGCCCTGGAGGGCCTGGCACCACCCTACTTCTGCCAGGACTGCTCTGTCACCTCCCTGAGAGTTGGCACAGGCCTCAGGATCTGGGGGGGTTCCAGCTGGGTGTTCCTGGGATGTTTCAAATAAAACTGGCAAGTGCCATCTCATCTGCTTTCTGGAAGTGGTGGGACAAAAGAGAAAGTCACCAACAGCTGTTCCATGGTTAAGGTGACAGGGGAGGTGGGACACAGGCGGGCGATGAGGGGGGACCTGCCTCCTCCTGAGGTGGCGGTGCCCCAGGACTGCAGTGGAGCAGCAAGGGACCCAGACACACGGCACATCTCATCTACAGCTGGCTCATCTGCCTTTTATTGTCCCCCCACCCCTGCCATCTCAGGCTTTCCCTAAAAGGACACCATTACCCACAGCCCGCTCCCTACGCGGCGGCCTTCAGAGCGGCGAGAAAACCGGACACTCCCCCTCAGACAGCAGCGGCGATACCTTGGGTGCCAGCGGGGCCGGGTCTGGGTGGGGCAGAGGAGGGGGCGCCTGAGCCTCAGCCCCGCTCCTCGCCTCAGGGCCCCCTGCCCTTCCCACCCGCGCGCTCCCCCCGGCCTTACCCGCCGGCGCGTCGGGGCGCGGCTGCCCGGGAGCCGGGGCCGCGGGGCCGCCAGGGCGGTGGTCCTCCAGGTGTAGGGTCATGGCGGGCCGCGAGGCCGTGGAGAAGGCGCACTGCATGCACGAGTAGCGGCCGCGCGTGTGCTCCCACACGATGCGGCTGGGAGCCGCGTGCCCTGCGGGCAGGCGGGACCCGGTCAGGCCGGGCCCTGGGCGAGGGCGGGTCGGACCTTTCCCAGCCTCCCCATCAGCTCCCGGGAGTCGGGGCGTGGGGCGGGGGGCGCTGGCCTGGCCGATCCGTTTCTCCCGAACGTTTCCCCAAGTGTCTGGGGGCACTAAACTTGACTTATCCGAGTCCCCTCCTCCCATCCTCTGAACCCATGTAGGGGGTAAGGGCTCCGGATCCGAGCGCAAGATTTACACGGAAACGTCGGCGCAGATGAAGGAGCAGGGGCCGCAATTTTTAAGGCAAAATCCTGTATTTCGGGGGAGACATTTCTGGGCACCTGGAAAGGGGGTGGGTATCTCCCAGGTTCCGCCCGGCGCAGGAAAGAAATCCCCTCCACCCTCCCTGGTCACCTGCACGCACCTGAAGGCGCGTCCGAGCCGCCCTGGGGTCTTCGCGGGCTGCCGCCTGCACCTGCGGTCAACGGGCGGGTCAAGGTCAGAAGTCAGAGGGAGCCCAGCCCACCCTGAAGGCGTCCCCGATAGCCCACACTCACCTTGGCTCTTTTTCCAGACGGCGGCGCTGGAGGCAGGAGGCCCGGGAGCAGCGGCCAGAAAGGGGCGCAGGCGTGGGGGACTTAGGCCAAAAGGCGCGGGGTTCAGGTAGGGCAGAAAGGGCCCGGTGGGGGCAGGGGCAGGGGTCGTGAACGGCTCGAGCAGCGGGTACGGCAGGCCAGGCGCCGGCGCAGGGTCAGACTCCGCGGGGCGCTCGGACGCCGGCGACTCCCTGTCCAGGGC